ATTGTGTATCCAGGCTCTAGACTGTTGGATGACCAAGTTCAAATCTTCATCATGATATCCCTTAATCCATGCGATGAGATATTGAGCTATTTTGTGTATGGGCACATCTAGAAACCAGATTCTAACCCAGAACGAAAATATATCAGAATCTAGCTTTGGCATGTCAATATATTTTGATTAGATATCCCCAAATTAATAATGGGCTATTAAAAAAAGTGGGACAAGCACATTTAAATAACAGTTCAACATGTTATTATAACTTACATTAAATACAGAAAAAAATCAAAGACACATAATGTTATGACCTATTTAAAAAAAACGCACACATTGATAAGAAGCGCGTGTTTTATGACATTTTAGATCAGCTAATCTAGACGGCACCACACCAGTGCCGATGCCAACAAGACAATTACCCTTTTCATACTGGCGTATAAACTTTAATCATATCTTGACCCGAAAAGTGTATCATAAAAATTACTGTATCACAAAAACCACCATTGAGTGATTTATCTACTAGATTCCAATGCTACTGTTTTCTTTCATCGAATCTCTGAACTTCAAAACCAATGAATCCACCTAAAACTGAAAGAATAGGGATGTGGTGTCTTGGCATAGTGCCAAGTTTGATTAAAGCTAGATAATATAGGTAAATTGAGTATAAAACTTGTGTAACGTCAGGTACAGTCAGGTACGTTTCACAAATAAGCATCCCTTAGCTAATTAAATCATTCAGTTTTTTTTTCTTTGGCGAATATTTCAATTATGCCGATGTTTTGCCAACAAACTTACAACACTCTTCTGACATAACTACAATTTTTTATACTTTAGAAAAGTGATAATGGCCTTTGGATGGTCTGGAGGAACCTATTTAGTCTGTAAGAATCACTTAAATGATTTCTCTACAAACCTCACTTGCCATAAGGCTTCTTTCACAGGAGATTTTAATCATCGTTTCTTCAATTATCATTATAGACAGTGGTTACAAAGGTTATTACAATTTTCGTTATTCCTGGTGAGCTTGTAATTACCAACTTTACCATTATACTGCTGAATTTTTATAATACACTTGTGCTGCTGTAAAATTGGAACAGTCCAATGTGATTTTAAGGTATTCAAATAATTCAAAATACTAAAATTTATATCAAACAGAAGAGAGTCTGGTCAGACAGACTTGAATCAATGCTTGTATCATAGGCTGGCAGTGGTAAGATTATCTGATCACCTCTAGAAGTCCAATGATTAAATGAAAATGAATATCCCTGAAGGTGATGGATGCTCCCCAAACATGCACATTTGTCAATGTATTCAATGTACAATTAAAGAAATGTTCTAAATATTCTGTAATATTTGAAAGATGACATAGTCTTAAAAGGGAAGTTAGTATTGTGGTCAAAAACTACTCTAGTCTCCTTTCTTACTTTCTGAGTAAAACGCTGCTCAGACTCTTTCTCTATACAAACCTCTTGCTGCATACAAGTTCCATTATTCCCACTTTCTTTTTAATGTATTAAGACACTTGCTATTTTGTCTAAAATGTGCCAGAAAAGACATAGATCTTGACTATGGAGAAGTAGAGCCACTCCTTGCATCTTCAGTAAGCACATTGGATACCCCGAAGGAGAAGAAGAATGGTACTTCCCTCTACTTTGTTCTCCATTGCCCCCTCTCTAGATCAAAATAGTCTTTGTAAATTTAAGTTTCAATCACACACTTGTTGTGTCAGATTCTACTGAACAGAGACACCTTGCTCCATCTGTCTGTGACCAATATGCTGAATCAATGTTAGCCAGTCTTTATTCAGGATTTGCAATGAGGATTCAGCTGTCATGAATGCCCTCAAGTGGAAATCTTTTCAACCCCAACACTTTTTATGTTGGCTCTGATCTTGACAATGTGTCTGACTATTTGGGCAAAGTTGGTTTTGAAGGGAGAAACTCAGAAAGAATGAACTCCTCAGCTTTGGCCATTACTCTAGAGCTTTAGGGTCTGGTTCAAGCCCTTATTTCAAACAGTTGCTGATTCTACTAAACATGTCAACAACAAATCAAGTTATCTTGTTGCTGCAGAGGCTGCCCAAAGATTCCTCATTCTGCATGTTTCAACAGCAGCTGACATGAGATGGGCTTCGCCAAATAAAACCAGTTCAACCTAATCAAAACCTCACTCAGAAACTGTCTCTAGAAAATTTTCTTTAACTTTCTGCTGATGGCCTTTCTCTGTCTAACTTTTTATATAAGAGAGCATCAAACAAAATAAATTTCCTAATTCCCTTCCAAATGCTGCCCAAAGCTTGACTGTTACTTCAAACACTTATGTAGAAGTTCCAAGTCCCTTTTCCTGATGCCTTACACAGTCTACTGCATGCACTTCCAGCCACTATTACATTTACATGTATTTGTAAACTGTTAGTAATAATAGCATCATATGATATTGTGAAGCTTTTAATGTAATATTCTGTATGGTGAATGATAATGTGATAGCCTAATGTTCAAATGTAAAACTTGCCCATAAAAATAAATGGTTAAATGTGATATTCTTTGTTTTTGTTGACATCTTAAATGCTTTTTAAAGAGTACTGTGTTCAATGAATATCAGAAATGGACCAATAAATGTAAAGACATGGTAACTTTGTGTGAACATAATGTCAACCACACACCTTGGCCTAAAAGAGGTAGCTAGTGCTAGCCCTGAATTGTGTGAAGTTTGAATTAATTACATGTATCATTGATAGTTTTAATGTTTAGAAGTTATACTCAAGATACGCCCCTCCAGATAAGCAATATTTTACATTTTTCAGTATCATTAAGGGAGACAATTCAAACCTGAAAAAGGTATATTTATGGTTCCTTGACACTGCACTTCCTTATCTATCACTGTGTGAAGTTTTAATCAAATTCCTTCAAGTTATTCACTGAACAAGCATCGTTAAGTATTATAAAGAGAAATAATACAAAAACTAAACAATGTAGAAACTGAGTTATAGTTCTTTAACACTGCACTTCCTCTCTCTACAAGTTACAAATGTGTGTAGTTTCAATGAGATATCATTGATAGTTAAGAAGTTATAATACTCTGGACAAGCATTTTTAACTTAAGGGAGATAATTCAAAAGTTTAGAAAGGTTATGATTCTTAGACACTGCACTAAAGTCTTCCTCTCAATGCATTCTAATCTAACTCCCACCAGATGTTGCAAAATGTAGTCATACAAAGTCTGAGTAGGGCCACAGGCCCGTGAGGGCTGAAGAGCTCTTACTTAGATAACATGTATGACTTGTATTATAAGTTAAATTAATGTATGACTTGTATTAAAAGTTAAAATCAATAAAAATATTTGTCCATGTCCAACAAGTTTGAGAAAGATGCTTCGTTACTAAGGTAGCAGGGCGTCACCATTTTGAAAATCTTGGACTGGTTCTATATTTGCTTATATGACAGTACTTAGGCAAAGCCTATGAATTGGGAAGTGAGATAAAAAAAAATTATTCCTTTTTTTTTTAGATTTAAAAGGAAATTAAATTTTTTTTAAAAAAAAGAAAAAATATATAGAATTCTTTACCTATCAGTGAAATTTTTTCAGTATCATTTCATTTTGGACGCCGTAATGGAATGATAAACGGCGAGTATTTTGATAATGGACCAATAGCAACTAATTGATTTACAAGTAAACAATAATAGCCAAGACATTCTCCTTGAAAAGTTCAAATCAGAAGCATTCTGGTTCCCAAACTATTATGTTCAAGATGAAGTGCGCTGGGGACTTGTCAAAATGGAAGCAGTGCATAAAATTCCGAATGACACTTTCAAAACAGAAAAATATGAAATGAACAATTCGTTTTTTATTTGACATTCCCAATCATAGACTTCACAGACACTTGGAATAGACTCTGCCCTTCTCCCCCCTGAATATAAAAAAACTATAAGTATTATCTTTTACAAGAATTAGTTTTAAATTTTTGTTTATATTGGTATGGACAGTTAAGTGTCTAACACTTGAACAAGTTTGAATAGAATTTCATAAAGTTTTTAAAAAGTCAATTTTTTACCAACGCTTCAATTTCCTGAAGATACCTAGCTTTGAAATGTAAACAAAACTCAGAACTGACCTACATATATTTCAAGTATTTATGTTATCGCATGCCATTTTATGCCTGTGTAAATCAGTTGATGCATATATTCTTTTAATAAATAAATGCATGTTATTATCTGATCATACCTTTCCTCCAAGCTTTGCACATTTAATAACATTTTCCTAACCATGTCACATGCTTCTTTACGAATTCATGACGACTGGAATGTTTCCCCATTACAGCGGAAAAATCGCTGGGAAAAGAAATTCAATCGCAACTATTCGGCCCTTTTCGTCAGTCTTCTTGATTTGGTTTTTTTACCGATTAGGGGATGTAACCGCTGCAGGGATTTTGGTTTTGGCATTAATGAAAGCGCAAAACAGTGCCTAAACTCATTACAGTCGTCTCGCATCAAAGGAAAGCGTACATTGTTATCTTAGATGTGTGACCAGGTCGTAATAATATGCAAAAATATTTTGACATACAGTTTGCCCGATAAAAAAAGACATGGTCTATACAAGTGCGGATCAAGAAGGGGACCACGCACATAACCCCAAGTGTCTGTGATAGATTTTGCCTAATTTCATATTATCATTAATGATAGATAGATATACATGGAGCTGTCTATTTATAAACTGAATAAATAATCACTGAATAATTTCAATCCTAAGACTTATTCTCATTATTACCAATTCAGTTTGTCAGTTACTCATCATGTAGCTGTACCAACAAGCGGGTGGGGTAAGGATGATTAACAAGTATTTTTGGAATTTACAACAAATATAATCTTATGAGTGATTAAAACTCATTCTGTTTCAAACAAATATTTCTGTTTTTGCTTATTCATATCAAAATATTAGAAAATTACAGAAAATAGTCCTTAAATTTAAAGTAAATTTATGCTCTGAATCGGCAAATTTTATTTTCTTACCATGTTGATATCCCTGTTTCCTGTCGCGCATGTGCAAACACAGGTGTTTCCCAAATATGACGTCGGCTGCTAGGATTGGAATAGTCGTTAAAAATTTAGATTTGTGCGCCTAACAATTATTTTAAAATTTCCATTTTCAATGACATCTATACAGTTTTATAATTATACATATGATATATCTTTTTAAATTGGTACAAGTGTTATTTTTTTCATGAAATATTAATTTATATTTAATTTTCGATAATTACCGTTCTGTTTATATCAAGTATTAGATGGAACAGCCAATCTTCATTTTAGAGAGGAGGTGAAGTGACTCAAAGGAGAAAATTACAGGAAACATCGAGCTGTTGAAAAATAAATATTTTGTAAGAATTAGTTACTTCAAAATGGAGTAAGGTGAAACGCAGTTATTGTTGTGAATATTTATTAAAATTTTGTGAAATGACACATTGAGAAAATGGTGTAAACATAATGTGAATGTGCCCTAATTGAAGATTACAGAGGAATTAAATATATTTTACCAATGATTTCAATGAAAATATTGTGATAAAAAAGTATTCTATAAAAAGTGCTTTTTACAGTTTTAATATGGATGTAATTCTCGTTCAAGTTTTAGTATTTTTTGCGTCATTATATGCTAGAATTTTATATATTGGATGTGAAGAAAATGCAGGTAGGTGACTGTCTAATTATAGATAAATACATGTAGCATTTTAGGTTGTCGCAAACTTAATTTAGGTTATTTCAGGTGAAATCTTTATCCACATGAAATTTATATTTTTTGTTTGATTTACATTGCAGTATATGCCAGTCTGAAAAGTTACTTGTTGCATTGTTTTCCCTTTTTACAGTTTAGTCTGAGAATTAAGACGCATTTACACTTTTGTAAATTATAATTATACCCAATTTAACATTATAAATATTGATATTTATTGAAGAAGTATTTATATTTAGATATATTCTTATAATGATTTTTCCCCGTATCAATTTACTGAAGAGAAATTTATGTGTTAAGGTGTTAATTAGTTTCTGTTTCTGTATTTAGTAACAGCCAAAAATATCCTTTGATAATTTGAAAATGTAACGCAGTGCATACTTGAGAGCATGTTAATGTGCAGTCATGCATTTATATTGTTATACATGTAGAGTTGTATAATAGATTTAGGTATATACAGTATGTGTACTATCAAAATAACAAAAATAGGTTAAAAAGTAAATGTCCCTCATTAAAGTTTGAAATTTAGGTCAAGTATTAACTTTTTTTCACATTCCAACTTGACAGTGTTAAGTTAACACCTGTTTGTACTAGAGAGACAGAAATAACAAACAAAAACCCGAGAAACCTTTACACAAATTTGGTGATATCAGTGAAAGGCCAGGTTTTTTCTCCCTAGCAAGGTTGATGGATATTTCAAATTGCAAAATAAAAGATGATACATTTTTTTACTGGCATGGCAAACATTCAACTACATGTACATGTGTGTTATGTACATCAGTTTTTGTTAGACACATTTTTATATGACAACAACAAATGTCATGGAGTTGTGACATGTCTATATTGAAATATGGGTGATATTAACATGTGAAAAATAATTGTGAATTGTGACCAACTCTGGAAACTAAGTTTTATACAAAACTTTTTTTTCTGGTATAGGGAAAACTTCCTTTTACCCAAGATAACTTTACAATGAAAATAAGCCCATACTTGTAATATCTTTCAACCAAACAAGTGTATATTATATTAATTGTTTCCTGCTGAATGTTTTTTTTGTTCAAGTTTAAAGCAGGCATATTTAATTTATAATAAATTTAACTTTAAGAAACTTTAGCGTAATCTGACATTTCTAATAAATCAATAATGAGCTAACACTGATCAATAAGTTATATATAAGCAAGGAAGAAAATGTTTAAAGTTTTTAAAAAGAAATTCATTCTTCATTAATTTTGCTTTGATAGGAAATATTAGGAACCAATCACTATAACCATAAATGTTGCGAATTTTTTTTGAAAAATTATATTTTACTGATGTGCGATAATATATATAGTAAATCATTATAAACATACTTAATGTTGCAAATGTCTTTAAATTATATATCACTGATGTGCGATAATTTATGTTTAAAGTTAAAACAGTTTCAAGATGAGTGTGAGATGTATATTATATAATTTATTCTGATTATTTAATTAGTTTGTAATAAAGTTGTTTAATATGTAGTTCAAAGGGTTGTTCATAGAAGTGATGATATTTTATGATGATGTTAATAGAGAAGTGAGAAATGTAGCGCACAGAGAGAATTTCGTTGATTAATATGATAATAATGATGTATACATATAAACTAAAAAATTATCCCATCAGAGTTTTTAAAAATTTTATTTCGATCAAAAGCAGTTTTGTTTTTTTGTGTGTGTGCGTTTTTTTTTTTTACTTTAAAAAACATTCTTGAATCAGAAAGACTCCTGGAAAATCTTATGAATTCATCTATCTACCAGAGTACTCATAAACACATGCCGCAGCTAAGATAGAGGTTATAGATAAGCCGCTGAAGAATACATATATTTTTTGAGGTCTTTATATACCATCCTTGAAGTTCTTCAAGTACTTTGATTCTGATCATAGGGAAACTGAGAGCACCTGCTGGCATATCTTTTACCAATTTAATGACTATTATCAATGTTTGTCAGTCATCGTTGCCCTTGTTTCTTCTTTTTTTCTTCACCAGACTGCTTGTTTTTTTATCTGGCTGGAAATGTTGGGTTTTTTTGCATAGAAAGATGGCAGTTACAAGTAGCCTTAATTCTACCTATGTTACACTTTAAAAGAAAATCTAGGCATTTCTGTTCCTATGCATAATCTTTTATGTAAGAAATGAAGGACCAGCTTTTGCTTTGGATATAATTAATTAACTCTTTAAATCCTTTGTGATAATGTATATTGAAATTATCCAGAAGGAAGCTGGGTCAGATACAGTTTTGAGGCCTAATAGGCTAGTCAATAATTCACCATCAATATTTTTAACTAATATTTATATAACACTTTTGTCAGATTCTAGTAGGTCAACAATTTAATAGCTTAACATCCTGATTCAAATTATATATAAAGAAGTTTATATAATGTATACAGTGTATTTCTAGTTTCATATTTCATTTTTATTGTAATGTATTCAAGAGTAAAATGATAGATGGCAGATATGCATACTTTATGTCGTTAAAGATTAGCACATTTCAATTCATAACAATTTAAAGTGCTATTTCCTAGTTTGTTTAAGGATTGTATATATATCATTTTGTTTATATACTGTAGTTACAAAAATTGCCTTGACTTGACAACTAGCTTTTTATTGTGCATACAAAGCACAAAAACTGTAGCTACCAGAATATATAATTTTAACGCTTTTCTTTTCCAATAAAATACAACTTTGATTTTTTTTGTGCAAATATTTCACTCATTTCTACTTTAAAGAAAATGGTTTTATAATAAATCTATAAAGATTTTATAATAATGACTGTTGAAGATATTACAGACAATTCGCCAGTCCTTTATTGTGAACAAGTTGGGTTTGTTGAGGTGTCCTATTACCACAACGGAATTCCGCGTTGCTTTGATCAATATTTGAAAAGATGAAGAGACCTTTTTATTTTGCAATAATAAATCACAATCATTGTGAAATGATTACAAGTGTGTTTATTTTATGTCACAGAAGTGTCAATCCAAAATATTTAATTCCCATGAATAATGTAGAAAAAGTTGATACACTTTTTTTTCTTTTTTTTTGCTGAACAATAAATCATATGAAATAGAGTATGTGTAAATTGTTTTCAACCAATAGCTTTTAGCTTCAATAAATTTAATGGAATAAGGTATATGTAATTGTTTTTAATTTAATGTCTATAACAAGTGGCATGTATAATTTGTCTTGTGGACCAGTCTGGTTTAGTCTGCAGAATGAGAGCATCAGACTTGTAATAGATATTTGGCTTTATATCTGATTTCCTTCACATGCCCTTCTTCCTGTTCTTCTTTTTGTCCATGAAATACTGTATTCCTCAATGGACTTTCTTTTATCCATGATATACTGTATTCCTCAATGGATTTCTTTTGTCCATGAAATACTGTATTCCTCAGTGAACTCTTCTTTTGTCCATAAAATACTGTATTCCTCAATGGACTATTCTTTTGTCCATGAAATACTGTATTCCTCAATGGACTTCTTTTGTCCATGAAATACTGTATTCCTCAATGAACTCTTTTGTCCATGAAATACTGTATTCCTCAATGGACTATTCTTTTGTCCATGAAATACTGTATTCCTCAATGGACTTCTTTTGTCCATGAAATACTGTATTCCTCAATGGAACAGAACAGAACAGAACAGAACAGAATTTATTGATTTAGGCCACCAGCCCATAACATATACAATTGTAACATTAAAAAGATACAAAGTTATGTGGATACACTCATCAATACATTATAACAATTCACACAAATTACAACGTTAATGATAAAATATAGACGTATCTAAATCAAAACTGCATAATCATCTTTTTTCGAATTGTTGCATGATAAACATAATTGGCAAGACTTTTTATAACATTTTCATTTTTACACGATAATAATATATTCAATTTGTGCTCTGTTGCACAAGTATAATATTTCTTAGCAATATAGTTTGCTCTTAAATCTGCGTATACAGGACAGACTAGTAGAAAGTGAAATTCATTTTCAAATAATCCTAAGGAACATACTTTACAATTCCAATCATTCGTGTTAATTTTTCTATATGACTTTTTAGTCACTTCTAAATGTGAAAGCCCTGAACGTAATTGAGCGTAGCAATGTCTGAATTTCCTGATATTTAAGATAGATATATAAGTTTCCTGGTCATAATTATTTTTAATACGATTATACAATGAGAGACAATCACTAGAATCTAACTTGCTATACCATCCTTGCAAATAATTATCCTTAAGTCTTTGACAAAACAAATGGAGAAACAATCTTTCATTTTGAACTCCTTGGTTCAACCAAACGTGCCCAAACCCATTACTACATAAAAGATGTTCAATTTCATTTGCCCAATTAAAATATTTAGCACATGTTGTACTTGAAAGCATTCTATAACAAATTTTTACATATCTGTCATTAGGTAATTTCAATAATTTGAACCAGTACTTTATGCAACGCATGGCAGATTCTACATAAATTGGATATATAACGACCACAGTCGCCTAATACTACATTATTACTAGATGTTCTATTTACGCATAAAAATCGTTTACAAGCTAAACGATGAATAAGCTCACAATTTTCACGGGGTTTAAAACCCCATATTTCGGATCCATACAGAAGGATCGGTAATATTTTGGTATCAAATAATTTAAAAAATATGTTTGAAGGCAATTGTCCATAATCATACAAAGAAGAAAGTAAAGAAAATAATACTCGTTTAGCTTTCATTGCAAGTTCACTGCTCATAATATTTAACGACATAGTGGATGTAAATGTTACTCCAACATAGGTAAAAGAATTAACTATTTCAAGTTGCTGATTATTATAATAAAAACATTCATTACGCGCTAATCGACTGCCCTTTTTTAAAAACCATGACTTTTGTTTTTGATATATTTACTTGCAAACAACTAGACTTGCAAAACGTTTCTAATACATTAAGTTGA